CTCTCTGTATGTGTGTATATATATCTCCTCAATATATGTTCCATCTATATGCATCCGAGAATGGGGCTGTAGTCCACGAAAGCTTATGCTCTAATAAATTTGTTAGTCTCTAAGGTGCCACAAGTACTCCTGTTCTTTTAGTCAAATCACTGGAAATAAACCAGGGATTAACTCAGACCTTTAAATTATGAATAGCTGAAGACATATAATCTCACAAATAACTAAGCTTAGACTCGCAAGAGCCATTATTGTTTTTCTCTTCTTTCTTGTTTAGACTCTCAATAAAAAAATATTTGATTATGCAAGTTTCACAAGGATTTTTGGGGTTTGATTTTCAGTTCTGCTTTAATCTGGCCTCCTTTTTGACTCTGCAGTGTTGTAAGTAGAAATAATTGCAGGCACAAATTTGCACCTACAATTTTATTCATGAGTGTACATTTTGCCATTTTAATATCTAAATATCTCATTGCTACACCATGTCAGATAATTAGACATTTAAATGACTTCAAATTGGACTCACATTTTTTTGTGCCTGCTAATCACAGACCCAGAAAGAGAGCCATGACTTAAAAAATCTGACTCACTTTATTTTCAAATGATAGTTATACAAAGATACTTACATTGTCTATGATATTAAAGATTGCATAGGCGGCTCCCCTTGCATTAGCAAATGCCTCCATACCTGGTGCAGTCTGTCCAACACTAAATGCTCCAATTAATATAGCAAAAAAGACCTAAAGAAAAAAATTACAAGAATGCTAGCAGGTTATCCAGTCATCAAACTGTAATGGGATAACTACATTTATTCATGAATATCTACTAATATTAGTGCAAAAGCTTTCATGTTTGTTATACAAATTCAGCATGTCTAGATTCAAAGAAGAAAAGAAAGAAAGGGCAGTTACTGAGGCAAAAGATAAAGGACAAGAGGAAGAAAAGGGACTCTAAGATGGGAATCATGTTCCTTCATGAGATGACCTCAAGATGGATATTGCTTAGACTTGGGTGCTGACGCTTGGGACAAGCCAGAGATGGTTTGAGGCATTAGGTTAACCCCCCTACAGACATAAGTAAACAAAGCTATATATAACAATCAGGACAACCAACCTTTAGGGACTGAGTCTTTTTACTGCTAAAACTATTTTAAATGTTAACTAGCTTTTTGCCCAAAACAAACATTTTCATGGAAAATTTTCATTTTTGTCAAAATTTTCCCATTTTTGACAAAAGGATAGAAACTGAAACTTTTCACCAAAAATGCTTTTCAGAAACTGAAAATCTTTTGCATTTCAGTTGCCTCCTCACTCCCTCCCCCAAACTGAAAAAATGTCATGGGAAGTTTTGAAAAGACTGGCATTTTTTAACAACTTTATTCTCATATCTGACCAAATAGATTCCCCCCCATCTTCTTGGGAAAATAGAGAGGAAGTCCCTCTGACAGTCTCTTTCTTTTGAAATTGTTCTCTTTACAAGACCCCATTTGTGATGACCCACTCCTTTGCTGCTCAAGCTTATGGTTTTATGGTAAGAGTTTTAGTAACATGTGGGCTGGTTTTATGTCTGTGTGTGTTTGGAGTTATTGTGTGTGCTGGTTGTGTTGTTGTGGGGGGCAGGTGGTTCCCTGGGCAGACAGCTCTCTGGGAACATAGCTCTAAGAAACAGTAAACTGATGAGTGCGTGAGTTGTGCTAGGAGATTTGTATTGATTTGTGTGAAAGTTGTGCCTGAGGAATTTGTATTTTGTTGTATGGGTGGCATATTAACATCTGAAGAACTGGGGTACTGGGGCTAAATACTCCATCATTTGTGCAGTCTCTGTCTTATCACTTACTACAACTAATAAAATTGTTGCATGCATATTAGCTGTAGAGTAAGGGTGATGATTGGTTGAGTTACCTCAGATATCGCACACCATTTTTGTGTGTAGACGGGGTTGTAGTGAGTCATTCTCCAAAGACAATTCTGTTACTCTTTCAACTTCCCTAAACTATGCAAAGTCCCAGCTTCCCTTTTGTAGAGAACTCAGGAATGAGGGTGCATTAGAGCTGTAAGTGTCCCAGAAAGTCTGCCCCATCCATTGGAGGCAGTTTTTAAAGCTCCTTTTGACTCAGAAGTAAAACACAATATGTTTAATGTATTTTTAAAAGAATATCTTTTTCAATCTCTGTCAGTTGGTTTCAACAGGTTAAAGTATCCCAGGCCTACTACCAGCAACACAGAGCCAAACATTTCAGACACAGTTCATATTTGCATGACACTGACATGCTTGCCACATTAGGAGCAGAATCTAAATCCTAATAAAAGGAGAGATTACTCACCTTGTGCAGTTAACTCAAGTTCTTCAAGACGTGTGTCCCTATGGGTACTCCACTTCAGGTGTACATGCGCCTCCTGCGCCATGGATCAGAGATTTGTAGTAGCAGTGCCTGTTTGGCTTGTTCATGTGTTTTACACATACTTGTGCCCCATAGAGAGGAAATATAGAGCTGCACAGGTGAACTGTCCTCAGTTCCTTCTCTACTGTGAAGTCCTGCAGAGGAAACTCTGAAACAGGGGGGAAGGAGGGCAGGCACTGGAGCACCCATAGGGACACACTTCTCAAAGAACTCCAGTTACTGCACAAGGTAAGTAACCTCTCCTTCTTCGAGCAGTATCCCTATGGGTTCACCACTTCAGATGACTCCTGAGCAATAGCTCCACAGGGAGGAGGTTGCTTTGGAGAAGAGTCCAGCACTAAAGAAAGAACTGCTTTGCCAACTGCCACATCTGATCATGAGGCATAAACCAAAGCACAATGCTTGGAAAAAGTATGTACTGAAGTCCAGGTTGCAGCTCTTGAGCAATGTCATAGAAATTGATTATGACCTTATAGAATGGACTAACACTCTAGAAGGGAGTTTAATGTTGGTAGAGTCATAACATGAAATAATACACCCATCGATTTACCTTGAGAGTCTTTGGGTAGATCTGTCCACAAACAAAACAGTCTGGGAGACTTTCAAAATGGTTTGGTTCTGTCTAGATAGAAGGTTAACACCCTTCTGATATCCAAAGTATGGAAGGCAGCTTCCTGTCTGGAGTGATGTGGTTTTGGGGAAAATAACAGTAAATAGATGATCTGCGTAAGATGAAACTCAGAGGACAGTTTGAGTAGAAACTTAGGATGTCGCCCGAACAAAACATTTTCCTTGAAGAACATTGTAATAGGGGGACTCTGCCATTAAAGCCCCCAGTTCTCTGACCCTTTGGCAGATGTGATGGCCATCAAGAAAGCTAGTTTCATGGAGAGGTGGAGTAGTAAATATGTAGCTAATGGTTCAAAAGGGTGTGTCATAAGGTCATTAAGGACAAAGTTCAAGTCCTATACTCAGGTACGTTATCTAACCTGTGGATAAAGATTCATGAGACATTTAAGAAGTCTTGAGGTTGTGGGGTAGGAAAAAAATAAAAAAACTTCCACAGATGAGTAAAAGGCTGTTATAGCTGCCAAGCGAACTCATAGTAAGACCTGATCTTTTTAATTTTAACAAATAGTTCCAGATGGTGGAAAGAGAAGAATGAAGAGTGTGAAACTTGCCTACAGGTTCACCATAGGTGAAATCTCTTTCATTTCTGAAGGTAAATATTTCTAGTGGATGTCTTTCTGCTGCTTAACAAAACCTAGGAAGTCTCTAACCTTGAGACCCATCTGGAAGCCCTAGCTAACACAGCATCTAGCGATGCTCTTATAAAATCTATCCATTGAACTGGGTTCATAGTGAACTTTTTGAGATTGTAAAAAGCAACAAAGAGTCCTGTGGCACCTTATAGACTAACAGACGTATTAGAGCATAAGCTTTCATGGGTGAATACCCACTTCGTCAGACGCAGTGAGTATTCACCCACGAAAGCTTATGCTCCAATATATCTGTTAGTCTATAAGGTGCCACAGGACTCTTTGTTGCTTTTTACAGATCCGGACTAACACGGCTACCCCTCTGACACTTTTTGAAATTGTTTGGGAGGCCTTGTCATTTATATTGCTGACAGGATTAGCCCGAGTAGCCAGTCATCAGATAAGGGAAGGCAGTTATGTCTAGACAATGTAGATGAGTGGCCATGACTGCTGTGATCTTTGAGAATAACATTGGGGCAGAGGAGAGACCAAAAGGAAGCACTCAGTATTGAAAATGTTCATGGTTAAGGCTGCGAGTTTGTCACGGAGGTCACAGAAAGTCATGGATTCCATGACTTTCTGTGACCTCTGTGACTTCTGCACTGGCTGCTGATGGGGCAGTCTCAGGCCAATACGCCCCCCCTACAGCAGCAGGAGTTTGTGTGTGGGAGAGAGCTGGGGCAGGGGGTTGGGGCATGGGAGGGGGTGAGGACTCTGGACGGTGCTTACCTTGGAGGGCTCCTCCGAAGCAGCAACATGTCCCTCCCTCAGCTCCTAGGTGAAGGCACGGCCAGGCGGCTCCGCGCGCTGCTTCTGTCTGCAGGCGCTGCCCCAGTAGCTCCCATTGGCCGTGGTTCCTGGCCAATGGGAGCTGCAGAGCTGGTGCTCAGGGCAGAGGCAGCGCGTGGAGAACCTCTGGCTGCCCCTCCGCCTAGGAGCCAAGGAACATGTCACCGCTTCTGGGGAGCCATGCGGAGCCAGGTAGGCAACCTGCCAGCCCCGCCAACCCCACCCCCCTCCGAGCAGCAGTGGGGTCCCAGGCTGTCTCCCCCAGAGCACCCCTGGCACCCCCGGGCCATCCCCCTCAGATCACCCAAGACTTAGTCCAGAGTATATAGTACAATCATGGACAGGTCATGGCTGTGAATTTTTGTTTACTGCCCGTGACCTGTCCATGACTTTTACTAAAAATACCCGTGACTAAAACGTAGCCTTAGTCATGGCTGACTGGAAATGAACGAAACTTCTTGTGAGGGGGTGAATGGCAGTGTGGAAATGTGTGTCCTGAAGGTCGAGAGTTGCAAACCAATCCCCAGAATCTAGAGAGAGAATTATAAGTGCAAGGGTCCCCATCCTGAATTTCTGATGTTTCATATAGTTGTTGAGGTGTGTGAGATCTAATATTAGTCTCCATCCTCCATCCTTTTTGGGGCCAGAAAATACTTGGAATAGAACCCGTTCTTCCTGTGCTGAAGTGGAACAGGTTCTATGGCTCCTTAACATAGGAAAGAGGCAACCTCCTGACTCAGCAACTGATCATGAGATCTGTCCCAGAAAAGGAACAGGAAGGGGGAATGGAAGAGAGAGACAGAGGTGAAATGGATGGAATAATCGGATGTTACAACCTCCAAAGCTCATTTGTCAGATGTTATTGTCTCTGAAGCAGATCAAAAATGAGAGAGGTAGAATCCAAAAGGGGGAAAGAGGGCTGGAGAGTGCAACAGTAGATTCTTGTGAAATGGATGGTTTGGACTCTTGACCAAGCCATGAAAAGTGATGCTTGAACAATGCAAGTGGCTGCAATGAAGTGGTTATAAAACTGGATGGTTTCTTCTTTGAATACTTAGATCTCTTAGCTAGAGGCTCAGGTGGTTTGTGAAAACCAGAAAATTGAGTTGGGCATGACCCCTGCACTGTTTGAGACCTGCTATACTTTTCTTATTTGCTGACACATAGATCCTCAGGGATCTGACAGTGGCTCTCAAATCCTTCAGTGTATAAAGTGAATCGTCCGTACAGTCAGAAAACAATTTATAACCATCAAAGGGAAGGTCCTCTACAGTAGTCTGTACCTCCCTCAGAAAACTAGATAGTTGGTGCCAAGTTGCTCATCACATCATGATTGCAGAGGATATGGATCAGACTGCATCCAAGGATATGGATCGGGCTGCATCAACTGCATCCAAGGAGTCCCGTAGAAATGTCTTCACCAAGAGCTGACCCTCACTTATGAGGGCCTTTAAATGCTCCCAATGTTCTTCTGGCAAATATTCAGTACAGTAACTCCTCACTTAACGTTGTAGAAATGTTCCTGAAAAATGCTACTTTAAGCGAAACAAAGTTAAGTGAATCCAATTTCCCCATAAGAATTAATGTAAATGGGGGGGGGGGGTAGGGGGGAAGGGTTAGGTTCCACAAAAGACGCGTGTGTGCGTGTATACACACAGACACACACAGTATAAGTTTTAAACAAACAATTTAATACTGTACACAGCAATGATGATTGTGAAGCTTGGTTGAGGTGGTGAAGTCAGAGGGTGGAAGAGGGTGGGATATTTCCCAGGGAATGCCTTGCTGCTAAATGATGAACTAGCATTCTGCTGAGCCCTCAAGGGTTAACTCATTGTTGTTAATATAGCCTCACACTCTACAAGGCAGCATGAATGGCGGTAGGAGACACAATAGACGCATGGTGGTAGCTGCAAACATTCCCTGTGGAAACTGAACGTGATGATGAACACATGTTAAGTGAGGAATTACTGTAGTCTTATTTAAACATGGTGGTTTGCTATTCAAAATTGTAGTGTCACAGAGGAATAGCTTTTGCAACTGAAAAGATCAAGGCTCTTCTGGTCTTTGCTATAGGGAGTAGCCTTTCTGTTATGCTGCCTCCCACATTCATTAACTGCATCTACAACCAAAGAATTTGGTGACAGATGTGAAAATAAAAATTCGAAATCCTTGGCTGGGACATAATCTTTTTGGTTGGCATACTTGCAAGTCAGGAGTGCTGTAACTGGAGTTTGCCAATTGGTCCTGACCAGTACTAAAAGAGCTGTGTTAATTGGGAGTGCCACACGTGCTGAAGCGGAGGTCCGTAAAATGTCCAGGAGTTTATGGTGGGAGTCCTGGTATTGCTCAAGAGGAATCTGAAGTACATCTGTGATCCATTTCATCAGCTGCTGGAATTGCCTGAATTCATCTGCCATTGAAGGTGGTGCAGGCATTTCAGCCTCATCCAGTGATGTCAAGGAAAGATTCATCTGAGGTGTTACCTCCTGATAAGCCCTTGCCTCTTGTTCTTCAAAGGTGTCCTCTACTGTTTTTGGCTGGTAAGGAGGGAGTGAAGGTATGAGAGAGCAAAAATGTCTATGCTCCCTGCGGTGGGAAAGCAGGGCCCTCAGAAATTGTTGACAGTACAGGACCCATGGATCCCAGTAAGACCAATGAGGTTGACCATAAGGCATAGGTGCAGGTAGCCACTGTTGATTACCCCAGGTGGTCAGAGATCAAGGTCACCTCTCCTTCTTTCTCTTTGCATGTGGAGGAGAATAACATTCCATTGAGTAAACAGGAGATCCCCAAACAGAGAGTTGCAAGTCACAGTCATTCGTATATTCGTATATATCATGGGAGGTGATAAGTGCTTTCCCTGGATGGAAGAAGATAGGGAACCAGAGGGTCCTGACAAGAAAGTTGCTGTCAATGGCCCAGAAGATCTTGGTACTGAGAGATGAGCAAAACTAGACAGTAGAGGAGACTCAATTCATTGGGTACAAAGAGGCCAATGAGTACCAGAACTACTGTGGCACCAGAGGAAAAATGGAGGTCGAAATTAACTGCAACTGGCTAGTATGTGCTGTAAGGTGAACCTGTGCAAGCATAGATTCAGATGGAGCAGTCCAGGGTGGTGAAGTAGATACTGAGGGTATTAAGGAGCCAGACGCTGCCAACCTCTTTGTCATAGAATGTCTGCTGACATAGCTGTGACTACCTGTAGCAGAGGATCTCTTCAGTACCTATTCCTTTTTGGAAGAGGCATAGCTTTTAGAAGCCTTAGATACCTTTGTGGTACCAGATGCACTTGGAGCCTCAGTAATACTCCACTTAGGGTCCGCGATTTCTGCTTTAAGGAGATCTAATAGTCGTTTTCCTCTTGATGATATTTTCACTTAGAGTGCAAGGTTGTTGGTATGGCAGGTACAGACATGGACCTCTCATCCCCTGAAGTTTTTGGTGACCTCAAAGAGGATGGGATAGTGGTTGTCTTATCTCTTTTAGCTTTCAGTGCCAAGGACCTGCTGGTCAACGGGGTAGCAAAAGTTATACCCATAAAAGGTCTCAGTGATCGGCATCTGGAGGTGGATGGGGCAGTATATATAGGGGAGTTCTTGGCACTCTGGTCAGAAGCTGGTTTCAGAGCTTGCTCCATCATGAGTTTGAATTTTATCTCCCTGTTCTTACACGAGCTGCTTTTAAATGAAGAGCAGAGTTACACTTTGAGGGTACATGGATATTCCCCAAGCACTTAAGACACAGAGAGTCCAATACTAACTAAGAAGGATTCCCAGCAAGAAGAACAACATTTAAAACCTGGGGATCCCGGCATACCCCAGAAATAAGAGTCCAAAATTAACCCCTTAAAGGGGGAAAACACAAAAGGGAAAGAACAACTCCAAACTAACTAAATAGAATAACTACTATCTAACAAACACAGTAAATCGGACATGCTCAATGCCCATCTCAGGCCGAAGACAGTTGAGAAGAAACTGATGGTGGTTCACCCATGCAGCCCTATATATCCTCGCTAGAGACCATGAGGACATGTAGGACACATGTGTAGGCTGAATGGGCACTGCTACCAAAAATCTCCAGTCAAAGGTGCAGGAGGTGCATGCACACCTGAAATGGAGCGTCCATAGGGACACATGTCTTGGAGACTGAAGGGTTTGAAGGTTGTGCTGTTGGAAGCCGGCAATGTTGGGATGAAGGGGAGATGCTGGGGGCTGTAGTGAGTGGGATATATGTCAGGGCTGCTGGACTGCGTGTGGTGGTTGTTAGGATAAGTTGGAGGGTTGTGAAGGGTTGTTGGGGTATATGTGTGGCAGGGGGGCATTCTGGGGTATGTATGATCTGACCTTGTATATTGGCAGTAATACAGTTATGACACACAGGAGTGCTGGTAAGAGACTGGTCCTCTTTCCTGGCTCCACCCACAGGATATAGGTGGTGGTTACAAAAGCTTATACCCCTGTCATGTAACATGGGCCTCCAACTCCAGGGGTTACTGAGTAATATCAGATGGAAACAATTTTTGGTCATTACTGACTTGGTCTGAACTAAAACTAGTGACTTACAGATGAAAGGATTATTATGTTGTTATCAATCCTATGAGACATCCAATGCCCACACAGTGGTAGTTTGATAATTACATTTTGTTTTACTTAGCATGGATGAAAACTGAGGTGCAGCAGGCCAAATTCAGTGTCAGTGTACATATTATACCCATTGACTTCAATAGGGTTGCATACAGTGTAATTCAATGCAGACTCATTCTGTTTAAACTAGTGGTAGGCAACCTGCATCCCGTCAGGGTAATCTGCCAGCGGGCCACGAGACAGTTTGTTTACATTGACTGTCCGCAGGCATGGCCACCCGCAGCTCCCAGGTTTAAACCCAAACAAGTTCCCAAAATTCTGTTTGGTATTTTTAATTAAAATTGTTGATCTACTGAGGTACACTCACCGTAAGGACTTTTCCAATAGTATAATCATCAGATAGCACCAAAGTGGCTCCATACCAAAATGCCAATGCATATGATGCATATATCAGTAAGAAAGCAATACCCATAGAAATGTTGGCTGTAATAGCCTTCTTGATTCCAATATTTTTGGCGTCTTCTAAATTTTTATGATACCTGCAAGAAAAATCACATATTGGGAATTTAAAAACAGATAGCCTATTACGTTTCTTTTTTTCACTGTGCCTATCAATAATTTTCTAGGTACAGACAACATTTTAACAAACAAATAATCAGATATATCAAAAATTTACATTAATTAATATAATGACCACTCCTGCTTCCATGACTAGGCCTGCTGGCTAGTAGCGCCAATTGTAAGAAAAAAGAGGATCGATTAAAGAGAAGGGATGTCCATTAATTTCACTATAAGAGTTTATAACTTAATTCAGATATACTAGTCTCTTCTCTCTACCTTAGCTAAGCTGTATTCAGTTTCCTGAAAGCCAGCCCTTCTTTTCTAGATTAAAAAAAGGAAAATAATAAATTGTCTCTTAAACAAACACTCAAAAGGACATATTCAGAGTTGGCAATGCCGTTCCCTATTAGAAACCCGAGATAAATCTGATGGTTGGGTGCATTCCTTATGTGTACATAAATATCCACAGGGTTCCAAATAAGTGGGAATAGAATAGGAAGTTTTCTTCAAGAGCCTGCATTTGTCTTGTCCATGAAAGACAAGTACTGTAATTCCTAATACAGACTGGAAGTATTGAAGACTGGGAAAACAATTGTCTCAAAAATAACTGCCAGGCAATTTTTAAAAAAATTATGTAATAATTTATTCCTCATATTTTTTCATTTTAAATGTCTTTAAATCATCCTAAAAGCATGAAATAGAAATAGTCCAGCAGAGGACCTCCAGACATCCTCCCTGCAGTTGCCCTTTTGTCTCCCCACAATTTTCCACAGATTTGTTATGTTTACTTGTGTAACCACAGGCCTGACAGAGGGCCAAGAGATTCAGATCCTCAACTATAGGTGGCGCCATTTTTCAGAGCTGAGTCATAATTTGTAAAATCTATCTATGTGCTTAAATGGTCCTGTCACCACAATATCTGTACACCTCACAAACATTTAAAATGTGTAATCACAGCACCCCTGTAGGATATTATACAGAGTGCAATGGGATGTGGTTGCTGTGCAGCAACTTCTGCTGGCTGAGTATGCTGTGCTGGTGCTCCCTGCCTCAGATGCCTTCCCCAAGGTGAGTCTCTTCAGCTTTCCACATACAGGTCAGTCCTGGAGATGTGGCTTGGCCCTCTGGCCACGTCATAAACAAACAACCCTTTCCAGGGTAACAAAAGTCCAGCTAGTAAGTCCCAATAAACAAAAAAGTTCTTCTATCCTTCAGGAGCTTCTCTTCAGCTGCTCTCAGCCCCTTTCAGGGCTACCTGTGAGTCTTTCCCCCACTCTAATATAGAGCACTCTGCTCCCAGGTGGCTTCCCCTGGAGTACTGTTCTCAGCCCCTTCCTGGGCTCTGTTTTCTCCCTGCCTGCCGGCCTATAGTTCCACACCCCAGACTGATTTCTCTCAGCCCTTTTCTGAGGTCCAGGTGTCCATTAACCTATCACCTGATCCCCTTAGTCCTGTCCCCTCAGACTCAGAAGCAGCTAATAATTATGGCCCAGAGAGGGGGGCTGGCCTATTGTCCTTTAAAGGGACCAGTCATCCTATGAAAGATGGCACTGAGGTACAAGCAAATTAAGTTAACTTAAATTAACTATTTAGAAAAGCTGGACGAGCACAAATCCATGGGGTCAGATGTACTGCATCCGAGGATGCTAAAGGAATTGGCGGATGTGATTGCAGAGGCATTGGTCATTATCTTTGAAAACTCATGGTGATCAGGGGAGGTCCCGGATGACTGGGAAAAGGCTAATGTAGTGTCTATCTTTAAAAAAGGGAAGGAGGAGGATCCGGGGAACTACAGGCCAGTCAGCCTCACCTCAGTCCCTGGAAAAATCATGGAGCAGATCCTCAAGGAATCAATTTTGAAGCACTTCAAGGAGATGAAAGTGATCAGGAACAGATAGTATGGATTCACCAAGGGCAAATCATGCCTGACTAACCTAATTGCCTTCTATAATGAGATAACTGGCTCTGTGGATGAGGGGAAAGCAGTGGGTGTGTTATTCCTTGACTTTAGCAAAGCTTTTGATACGGTCTTCCACAGTATTCTTGCCAGCAAGTTAAAGAAGTACAGGCTGGATGAATGGACTATAAGGTGGATAGAAAGCTGGCTAGATCATTGGGCTCAGAGGATAGTGTCATCAATGGCTCGATGTCTAGTTGGTAGCCAGTATCAAACGGAGTGCCCCAAGGGTCGGTCCTGGGGCCGGTTTTGTTTAATATCTTCATTAATGATCTGGAGGATGGCGTGGATTGCACCCTCAGCAAGTTTTCAGATGACACTAAGCTGGGAGGAGTGGTAGATATGCTGGAGGGTAGGGATAGGATACAGAGAGGCCTAGACAAATTAGAGGATTGGGCCAAAAGAAATCACTTGAGGTTCAACAAGGACAAGTGCAGAGTCCTGTACTTAGGACGGAAGAATCCCATTCACTGCTACAGACTAGGGACGGAGTGGCTAGGCAGCAGTTCTGCAGAAAAGGACCTAGGGGTTACAGTGGACGAGAAGCTGGATATGAGTCAACAGTGTGCCCTTGTTGCCAAGAAGGCTAACGGCATTTTGGGCTGCATAAGGAGCATTGTCAGCAGATCGAGGGATGTGATCATTCCCCTTTATTCGGCATTGGTGAGGCCTCATCTGGAGTACAGTGTCCAGTTTTGGGCCGCACACTACAAAAGAATGTGGAAAAATTGGAAAGAGTCCAACGGATGGCAACAAAAATGATTAGGGGGCTGGAGCACATGACTTATGAGGAGAGGCTGAGGGAACTGGGATTATTTAGTCTGCAGAAGAGAAGAATGAGGGGTGATTTGATAGCTGCTTTCAACTACCTGAAAGGGGGTTCCAAAGAGGATGGATCTAGACTGTTCTCAGTGGTAGCAGATGACAGAACAAGGAGTAATGGTCTCAAGTTGCAGTGGGGGAGGTTTAGGTTGGATATTAGGAAAAACTTTTTCGCTAGGAGGCTTGTGAAGCACTGGAATTGGTTACTTAGGGAGGTGGTGGAATCTCCTTCCTTGGAGGTTTTTAAGGTCAGGCTTGACAAAGCCCTGGCTGGGATGCTTTATTTGGGGATTAGGTCCTTCTTTGAGCAGGGGGTTGGACTAGATGATCTCCTGAGGTCCCTTCCAACCATGATATTCTGTGATTCTGTAATTCTAAGTGACTTGCTTTAGGGCACATAGTGCCAAGTACCAGAGGCTGGAAGAAGAAACTCTGTGGATGAGTAAGAGAGCACTGATGAGGTGCACTCACATACTATGGTGATATGCTCCCTAAGAAAGGTGCTGAGTTGAGCTGCATGGCCCCTCTCACCTTCAGCAACCACAGTCAGTGGAGAGTTCCTGCCAAGTTTTGTGGCTCTGATGGTCATCTTTAGATAAAAGGTCAGGACAAATGACGAGAATGCTGTTCCATAATACAATAAGAATAAATGAACCTAACAATGGAACTATCAAGATGTGTACAGTAACACAATCTTATTAGTGTTACCCTTGTCTTTTCTTTCCCCATCCCCCATTTTTGTCTGTTTGTCTATTTTGTCTGTTGCTTATTGTGTGATATTGAAATTAGATTGTACACCCTTTGGAGTACTGACCATGTCTTTGTTTTGTGGGCTCTGGAAAAATAAATAATCATTATTCAGCTTACAATAAAACTTGTAAAAGAGAACATTCTTATTAGGCAACTTCTTGTCTTAATTACCCCCAAAATGCACTGAGTACAAAAGTGCTCTATCTTTATTTGAAGATCACTTTCACCAAGGAACCAGTTTTGTCAGCCGTGGGTGACAAACTTTCAGCAGTGAAGATACAAGAAAAATTCAAAACATTTAAACTGAGAGTTTTAAAACTAGCTGATGAATGAAAACATTTTTCTGACCTTTTGATTTCTTTTTTCTGTCCTCCAAAAGCAATAACAGTCCGAATTGCTGCCAGAACTTCCTCTGCAACAGCTCCTGCTTTTGCATATGCAGTTAGTTCTTTGTCAGTGAATGCAGAGAGTATCTGTATAAAAGGAAAATATTTTAACCTTATTGTTCAAAGAAATATTGAATCAGCTTGAGCATATTATGTCTTTTCATCATAGTTTCCTCTTTCCAAAAAAATGCATTATAATGCCATTTATTAGAAAATAAGCCTTTTGCTTAAATACCATAGAATGGGCCAAACCACTTATTATAAGAAATAAAGAATACATCAATTATATAAAAATTTAATTTTAATGTTAGCATCTATCAAAAACTGAGACCTAGATTTTCTGCTTTCACTCAGTGCACAAGTGTATGTGTAGGTGGCTCTTAGTTAACTGGTTATGGTTCCCTGTTTGATACTCAGGGCAGATCTGCATCATTCTGATCCCAGGTAGGTTAGAGCAGCCAGTAGGCTGCTCTAGTTATGCCAGTTGGCTACAGTCTATAAGGGGCCATACAGCAGCTAGGAACATCTGGACTGGATTAGATGACCTATCAAGGTCTCTTCCATTCCTACATTTATATGATTCTATGATTCTATTTTCCATATATATCCAAAGATTGCGATTTTCACGAGCCAAAGGGATCAAGGGACTCAACTCCCACTGAAATTCAATGGTTGTTTTTGAAAATCCCAGCAAAAAGCAGTAACAAATCTGGAAAAAAAGTCTATTTCTGAGACTAAGATTTGGACTAAAAGTCGGGGCTCCACAGCCGACCCACCGGGTGTTGCTAGGGTAGAAAATTCTCCGACGATCGTGCACGCGGCGCACGCACACCTAATTGGAATCGATATGAGCAAGCACTCGAAGAAGAACCACCTTTACATCAGTAAAATTGTGTCCACACTAGGGACACTTTATCTGTTGTATCACTTTAATTATGCCATTATAGGTATAGTTCTATAATTTAACTTCTCTGTGTTGACAAGTCTAAAGCTATGATTTTTAACAGCCCTAAGGAATTAAATATACTATGACTCTTAGTGAGGAAATTAAGAGGCTCACTCACTTGAAACAAGACACTTTAGTGTACTTTTACATCTCAGTGAAAATTCACAGCTTTCACCCACCTTTGCCCAGAGAGCAGCTGAGAGTCCCAGGACAGGACTGACTGCCAGTATTACAAGGGTTAATTTCCATCCTTTTGTGAAACCAACTATAAATCCTGTGAGAAATGTAGCTATTGCCTGAAAGAGCATTCCAATTTTGTCACCAATTCCTTCATTAATTTTGGACACATCACTAAAAAACAAATTACATCCAAAATGTTGAGGAAAGTGGAAAACACAAAAGGTTTTTTATTGATGCAGTACACTTTGTCAATTCTGTCACATTTTCTAAAAGCTCTAAGCTGCAGATTAATTTAGATATAACACACTTTGTATCCACACCTAACATAGGTCACAAATGTTTCATCCAACAGAAACACACATGGGAGGAGGCCAGGGAAGAAAATCCTGTAGGCTCAGAATGATTTTCTTAAACTTTACATGCAAATCTTGGAGGATTTGCTTGAGGCACATGGACAACTGTATCGAGGCGCACACTGGCTGTAGGGTCCCTAAATTCCTCTTTCCAATCTTTGTCAACAGCTGCCTCCAGGACAGCTCTCCTGAGGAGAAAATATAATGCAACCTTGGAAAACTGGACATTCCCTATGGAAAATGTAATGTAACCTTTTCCAAATGACCTCCAACAGGGTTAAAGGTCATCCCTAGACTGCCCATGCTGGCCCCAATCTATCCATTTCGTGTCATCTCCTACACGCATATATTGGACTCATTTGAAAGTTCTCTAGTGGGTCCCAGGAAAGACAGGGCAGTTCCTTTCATGTGAGCAGAGGAAAGTGATTGGGAGTTGAGGTTGCCTGACCTTTTGCCAGAATTATTCAGCATCTTGTAGCTCAGGCCCTCAATATGCATGAAAACTGAACTATATTTTTCCTTCTTGGTAATGATAGGATAGGATTTAGTTGCCCTGGCAGCATGAGAATGCTGGCATGGACACTGCTGTGACATCCCTGTTCGTTGGTAGAGTAAAGGAGTCCAGTCTGCAGGGCTCTCCATGTTGTACATTTCAACATGTAGATAGTAAATTCACTAGATTTTCATATAAGGATTTTGAAGACATTTTAATATAGTTCATACATACGTTTAATAAGGTAAAGAAACATGGTTGTGAAGGGATTATCACAACTGATAGTTAAAAATATTCTTACTCTATAAGTCGAGTGTTGAGTTCCCCAACATCATTCACATCAAACCACCCAATTTCCTGTCGCATTATTGAGTGGAAAAATTGTTGTCTGATTTTCTTAATTTGCCGGCCAGCTGCCAGTGTCCAAAATGCAACTTGCATGTAGGCTGCAAATAGAACGCCAGCTCCTATTCCAGAATAATAGTATGCATAGCTGAAAGGAACAAAATTGCAGAGATCCTTTAAATTGGATTTTTTTTTCACCCCAAACAAGTCTTTTAGATATAGATTTTAACTTCAGTACTTTACATACATAAATAAACTAATATGGAATATTCTTTGGACACTATCTGCATTATTTCCTCTCTTCAGTGTTGGTAATATTTTTCACTAGGTCCTTTTAGAACCATATTTCATATCTGTCCACTTAAATATGTGACCTCCACAAGTTACCTGAAAACCTGTACTTTTTTATCTAAGAATGGATAGCTCAGAGACCACTGACATATAGGTAGAAAACCTACTTGGAGTATACTTTACTGTGGAAGTACTATACGGCTAATAATGAAGAAAGGTAAAAGGTGGAATTTGAAAATCCCATTCTGAATCTAATGAAGCAGCAAGGGTTGAAATTATATTTCATGTTTGACTGTCACTATCCTTTACTAGTTATACACAATTTCATTTACTCATCAGTGAGAGAACTTTGAAATAATTTTGTTTTAAAATGAGTATGTATTCCTGAAGTTAAAAAAGAAAAAAACCTCCTCCATAGAGCTAATTCAGTTAAATCAAAATGATCCTCCACACATACAGGACAAAAAAATTAGATAAACCTTTGTTGCAGGTAGATGCCAATAAATTCCTTATATGGAATTCCATTTTATTATGATAATTTAAAGTTCAGCAAATTCCTCTAGCTCATATATATATTCATAACATGTATTTTAATTTTAATTTTATTCAATACTATTCCATGTGCCATAGCCATAAAACAATAGGAAATTACATCTAAACTTTCTTTGTGTGAGGCACATGCCAAATTTCATTACCAGATTAGTACATTTACATAAAGATGAATAATTACAAAATAAAGATAAAAGCCATTTGGATCCTCTCACACCTATAGATATGTAAAAATATGTGTACTGTTTCTTTAAAGCTGTAGCTGGAATTTGAAGCCAGACAGGATGGGGGTTGGGAAGGTTGTAAGCAAAAGCTCGGCAGTGAAGTACAAAAAGAGACAGAGTAGCTTTGGTGATAATTCTGTTTTCCATATTCTAATAAAGTCCCTTGTCCCACTTTAGAAGAAAGTAACTATGATTTTTTCCCATTGTTGCATGACACAACTCAATTTACTTTGAGATTTCATAATTTATAAAATTACTCATATCTAAACTGAACTATAAAAATAGGTTAATGGCTAACTTAAAGCTGACTATGTGATTAGCTAAATGTTGACCTTAAATCCATCACCTTAAACACTGTAAAATTATAATGAATCAGCATGCGGTGTTGTTGTAGTTGGGTTGGTCACAGAAGAAGAGTTCAGTAATCTCAAAAGTTTATTGCTCTCACCAACAGAAGTTGGTTCAATAAAAGATATTACCTCATTCACCTTGTCTCTCTATAAAGAATCTTTAAAATTCACCAGCAAGTATTACAGGATTTGTTTTATGACAATCCATAACAAAGTGAATTCAATTATGTGTGAAATTCCTTATTGATCAAATTTATTTTGGTAGAATCATTGATGAAAGTTAATTGCACATTGCACTGTGAATTAACTATTCAACAACCAATGTTCTGGATGAAAGCTGGATTTTAGGTATAAATATTATTTGAGTAAGAAACATAATGTGTGCATTTCCTGAATTCATCCATGTAATTTTTATGTTAATTACTGTTCTTGTAAATTGTTTTTAATGTATAACAGGGACTAGAATTTAACACAATAATCTCTGATGATAAATTGCTTTCAGGGGCAAGTCCAGGCATGCTGGTTATACAGTATAGGGGTGAGGCCTGTGAAAGACAATCTTCAGGGGAAAGGTTGACTCCTGTAAAGGAGGGAGAAAAGAGAAGTTGAAACGGAAAGACAAGGGCAAGGGGAAATGGAGAGGGGAAAAAGAGAAGAAGAGAACCCAAAAAGAGCAGGGGGAAGAGAAAGGAAAGAAAATGAGAGATGGATGAAAAGAGAGAAGGAATAAAAGATCATAGAAATATAGGAATTGCTACACTGACTCAAACATATGATCCACCTATTTCCACATCCTATCTCTGACAGCAGGCAGTACCTGATGCTTCAGAGGAAGGTGAAAGAACCTTATAATGGACAATTATGGAATAAACTGTGCATAGGGAAATATAATCTTACCACCCATAGTTTAGTAGTTTTTTATGAAGTATAGGATTCCTATACGACTTCCTATATAAATCCTGAACTATAGATAAATTCATGGAGGATAGTCCATCTATGGGTATTAGCCAGGATGGGCAGGGCTGGTGTCCCTAGCCTCTGTTTGCCAGAAGCTGGGAATGGGTAACAGGAGATGGATCACTTGGTGATTACCTGTTCTGTTCATTCCCTCTGGGGCACCTGGCATTGGCCACTGTTGGAAGACAGGATACTGGGCTAGATGGACCTTTGGTCTGACCCAGTATGGCCATTCTTATGTTCCTAGAACTATGATTGGCCCTGACCTATGTGTTTTGGTTCTCTGAGCTACAGTGATAGCTTGTACAATGATAACTTCTTTGCTAAAGCTTTATACAGACTTCATTGAAGTCAGTAGGTGTCTTTCTGTTGACTTCAATGGGCTTTGGATCAGGACCCCAGATGGTTTTAAAGAAACAAAGAGAAGTATAATGATTAACTAATGAGAACATTTTTTGGTGCATTCATGAGAGTTAGCACTTAGTCGGCTGTTACCACTGTAAAAAAGAATGGTTTCAGGGAATCCTTTCTACTGATAAATTAGCTCTATACAGTAGCAATAAATACCAAGGTACTACATTGACTAGTACTCTATAAATATCTAAATTAGATATTGCAGGTAAACACTCCACATTATGGATGTTATCTATTGAAAAGAAGTTTTCTACTCTGCAGTGTTGACTATATTAAATACTTCTAGCATTGACATCACCTTTGCTATCCCCTAGCATGTCTGTAACATGTTTGCATACTCATTTGACAGACCTTATCTTATCTTGGTTTTTATGTGGAATTTTATGAGTTTATAAATAGAAAGTGTATATAAAATATTTCTTTCACTGGTACAATGTCATTGGAATGGGCTGAGTCCCTACAACAGGGGTCGGCAACCTCTGGCACCCGGCTTGCCAGGGTAAGCACCTTGGTGGGCCGGGCCAGTTTGTTTACCTACCGCGTCGCAGGTTCGGCCGATCGCGGCTCCCACTGGCTGCGGTTTGCCATCCCAGGCCAATGGAGGCTGAGGGAAGCGGTGCGGGCGAGGGATGTGCTGGCCACCACTTCCTGCATCCCCCCTTGGCCTGGGATGGCGAACCGCGGCCAGTGGGAGCCGCGATCGGCCGAACCTGCCGACGTGGCAGGTAAACAAACTGGCCCGGCCCGCCAGAGTGCTTACCCTGGCGAGTCGTGTGCCAGAGGTTGACGACCCCTGCCCTACAACATCCTCAGCAGAGCACTCTGATCTTGATTTAACATCCAAACGCTACCCCTTCCTGGAATTCAGCATTGTTGATCATTCAAAAACATATGCTTAAATTTCCTTTCTACGTTTGACTGTCTCTAGTGTTTCTCTCTAGTAACTCCTTTGTCCTACTTCCCTAGTAGCCCTCAGTTAACAAGCTACATTTGCTGCAATGAGTCAGCAGCTTTATGTAGGAGTCTACCACAGGCATAAAAGGGTCTGAGAAAAAGAAGAGCTCTGCCACCTTATTATGGACATAAATAAGGAGGAACAGTCATGGAGGTCAAAATCCACTGTCTTCATCCATTATTTTAATTTTTTTACACTAGAAGATGAAGAATTATTTGAAAGCTGCTGTTTAATTGGCTGAGCTTGTGAAGACTTACATTCAGTTAGATAGCATTTCTCTGCTAGCATGTTTGGATATAACAATTAACTTTTGAATGATGCATCTGATCAATTGCAAATGGAATGTTCTAGGCATCAGTGGGCAGAATCTTATTGCCTCTGATGAAAACCAGAAGGGAGAAACTGGGGAGGCAGTGCAGGATCAGAGGGCACACACAGAGTCCTTGGTATCAGGTTAGCAGAACTAGCAACTTCAACTACCCATGTCATTGTCTATAAACTAGCTAAATCAATGAACTGGTGCATGGCAGCCATGAACACATTCCAGTTTATAACAGCTCTCATTTTAGCTCCGTTAATCCTCCCAATACGGGGAGGGGGAGGGGGAGGGGGAGGGGGAGAGAAAGGGGGGGACTTGCAGGATGTTCCTGAAGTAGAAGGGGATGAGAGGGTGCTGGGAAGGGGAGGAGTGGGAATGGAGGAATGCAAGGAACTCTGGGCATCCCAGTGTACTAGGACAGAAAACCGAGAGGTCTGCTGTTTGCCAGGAGCTAGGATTCACGATGTGATGGAGAGACTGCCGAGACTCATCAAGCCCTTGGATCTCTACCTCTTCCTGCTTCTCCACGTGGGCACCAATGATACTGCCAAGAATGACCTTGAGTGGATCACTGCAGACTACGTGGCTCTGGGAAGAAGGATAAAGGAGTTTGAGGCACAAGTAGTGTTCTCGTCCATCCTCCCTGTGCAGGGAAAAGGCCTGGGTAGAGATCGTTGAATTGTGGAAGTCAATGAATGGCTATGCAGGTGGTGTCGGAGAGAAGGCTTTGGATTCTTCGACCATGGGATGGTGTTCCAAGAAGGAGGAGTGCTAGGCAGAGACGGGCTCCACCTAACGAAGAGAGGGAAGAACATCTTCGCAAGCAGGCTGGCTAACCTAGTGAGGAGGGCTTTAAACTAGGTTCACCGGGGGAAGGAGACCAAAGCCCTGAGGTAAGTGGAGAAATGGGATACCGGGAGGAAGCACGAGCAGGAGAGTGCAAGAGGGGAGGACTCCTGTCTCAGACTGAGAAAGCGGGACGATCAGCGAGTTATCTTAAGTGCCTATACACAAATGCAAGAAGCCTGGGAAACAAGCAGGGAGAACTGGAAGTCCTGGCACAGTCAAGAAACTATGATGTCATTGGAATAACAGAGATTTGGTGGGATAACTCACATGACTGGAGTACTGTCATGGATGGATATAAACTGTTCAGGAAGGACAGGCAGGGCAGAAAAGGTGGGGGAGTTGCATTGTATGTAAGAGAGGAGTATGACTGCTCAGAGCTCCGGTATGAAACTGCAGAAAAACCGGAGAGTCTCTGGATTAAGTTTAGAAGTGTGAGCAACAAGGGTGATGTCGTGGTGGGAGTCTGCTATAGACCACCAGACCAGGGGGATGAGGTGTACGAGGCTTTCTTCTGGCAACTAGCACAAGTTACTAGATTGCAGGCCCTGGTTCTCATGGGAGACTTTAATCACCCTGCTATCTGCTGGGAGAGCAATACAGCGGTGCACAGACAATCCAGGAAGTTTTTGGAAAGTGTAGGGAACAATTTCCTGGTGCAAGTGCTGGAGGAACCAACTAGGGGCAGAGCTCTTTTAGACCTGCTGCTCACAAACCAGGAAGAATTAGTAGGGGAAGCAAAAGTGGATGGGAACCTGGGAGGCAGTGACCATGAGATGGTCGAGTTCAGGATCCTGACACAAGGAAGAAAGGAGAGCAGCAGAATACGGACCCTGGACTTCAGAAAAGCAGACTTTGACTCCCTCAGGGAACTGATGGGCAGAATCCCCTGGGAGAATAACATGACGGGGAAAGGAGTCTAGGAGAGCTGGCTGTATTTTAAAGAATCCTTTTTGAGGTTGCACGAACAAACCATCCCGATGTGTAGAAAGAATAGTAAATATGTCAGGCAACCAGCTTGGCTAAACAGTGAAATCCTTGCTGATCTTAAACGCAAAAAAGAAGCTTACAGGAAGTGGAAGATTGGACAAATGACCAGGGAGGAGTATAAAAATATTGTTCAGGCATGCAGGAGTGAAATCAGGAAGGCCTAATCACACTT